TTTTTTTTTTTTTTTTGCTGAGTTGTAAATCTGATCCTTAGTTGGCAAATTATGTGGCTTTTTTACAAAAAAACGCAAGGAAGGGGAATTGAACCCAGGGTGATGGGCACACAAAAGAGGATTAATGCCACTTGACCTAACACTTTATTTGTAATAAATCTTACTTTACTTATATATTAATAAGAAATTCTTTATCCAAAAATAAATTATTTAATATTTTTATTTCGTAAATATCTATTTAGTAAAAATTTAATAAAATAAAAGTTATTTAGTAATTATTTATATAATATATATTAATTTGATATCCACAGCCTTTAATATATATATATATATATATATATATTTCGCTATTTAATATATTTATTATATATATATTAAATATATTATTTAATTTATTTATTTATTTAAATATTAAATATAATTTTTGAATATATTTATCTATTTGAATATAATAAAATAAAATCATATTATTTGATATATTTATTTATTATATTATTTAATGTAATTAATACATATTTAATAAAATTTGTGTTTAATTAATGAAATGAAAATAAATAAATAAATACTAAATATTAATATTTTATTTAATGAAATATTTTTTTATCATTTATTTATTTTTATTTACATTATCTAATTTTATATTTAGTATATTAATTTATTTATTATATTATTTGTTATATTTATTTATTAAATATTTTTATTTATTAAGTAATTTTTTATTTATTAATTATATAATTTATTTATATATTATTTAGATATATTTATTCATTCTACTATAATTATTAAATTATTTAATATATTTATTTATTGTATTATTTAATATGAATATTTACGTAGTAAATATTTATTTAATATATTAGTAAATTTTAATTAAATATATTATATATTTAATTAGAAACATTTAATTAAATAATATTTATTAAGTAATTATTTGTTTAATATATTAGTTTATTATCAACAACCTTTAATTGTTATTTAGTTATTTATTATATATATATATTCATTTAAATATAGTAATATAAGATCGTATTATTTATTTAGTAGCTATATATTTAATACATAAAAAATTAATTAAATGTTAATAATATAAATTAGTATAAAAAACAAGATTGATGATAACAAAAATTTAACTAAACAAGGTAATTAAATATATAATATAATATTATTTATTTATCTATTTAGCTTACATATTTTAATTTCGTGAGTAATACATATTTAATAAATAATTTAGGTATTATTTTTATAATTAAAAGTATTACAAATTGAACATATATATAATTTTTTTGATAAAACATTCTTAATTGATATATAAGTGCAGTCAAGATTTTAACATAAGTTGTTGTAGGTCTAGTGGATCATAAGCTCATTTTGAAACTTTAACAACCCAGGTTCGAATCCCCTTGGCTTCACTTTTCTATCTTTTTTTTAAATATGCCACGTAATTATACAACTCAGCAAAAAAAAAAAAAAAAAAAAA